CTGGCACACAGAGAGATCAAGAGGTTGAGAGGTTAAGGTCAGATTACACAAGGACAAACTAACTAAAAGAACATTAACGAAACACAAAATTCACATACAGGGTGGTCAAAAGACTTCATATAAAGACACATTGCAAAAAGACTTTAACTACCTTAGGATGTCAGTCACACATCAAGTTCATGTATAGGCAAGCGAAGAGATTAAAAACCATCATATTATCATAAACATATGCTGACTAAAGAATAATTCTATTTAAAAGTTCAGTTGCACCAAAATTTCACATCCTATTACAGAGAAAGATTTCAGCAAGTAATGGACTTCACATATTAAACGGAGAGGGAAACACTTCACAGAATAGCCTTTCTACATAATAGCTCTATATCTAGCTTTCCCTGCAATGCGCAGTAACATTTTCTAAAGCATGAAATGAAGATAAAGAATGTTCTACAATACATGATAAAGGATACCTAGAAACAAGACATGTGCGTTGACAGTCAAGTTCAAAGCATAATTAAGATGGCATGTTTAAAGCATAATCCAGAATTTGATACGATGTATGCTGCCTACACTTTTTTTAATGAAGACCAATGACATTTCATTTAATCACTACAATGAAGACCAAAAACACCTTCAAAACCACTTCTGAAAACACATTCTATCATTCGGATCAAAGTTTTTTTTTCCAATCAGATTAACTAGCTTCTACAAGTCAGAAGTACAGTTAAAAGGGATGGGGGTCCTGGCAAAGGAGCAAGGGAATGGGTAACAGTACTTGAAAAAAAAGGCAAAAAGAAGAGAAAAGCTAAAACCACAAAAGATTTCAAAGCTTTGTCCCTGTGGTCCGGTGTAGCTGAAAGACAACATAAAAGATGGAGTGCTGAAAGAGAAAAATCTTCAGAGAAACCCCATAAACACAGAGCGTGTGGTGCACATTTATCAATCATAGAAGAGCCCTCAACCAACTGTGAAGTTCAAACAGTGGAGTCAAAATGCCTTCAGTACAAGAAAATTATGAAATCATAGGCTAATCAGTTAACTTGCTGTGGTTAATTTTCAGTCTTAGTTGGGACAGGAAAGTGAATGCCTATCACGAATAACACTACCGAGCTTGAGGTATACCAATCTTGAAAAATTTTTCTTTCAGTAGTTCTGTTACTGCAAAGACACAAGCTTCATGTACACTAAAAGTCGCGATATACTGTATTCCATGACAACACAGTAGTCATATATATGTATAATTTGAATCACAAGATGATTTTCTTTCCCTAAGAGCAACAATTTTTTGTCCTTTTCAAAAAAATTCTCCACCACCTCAGTCACTATGAAATAAAGAATAACCACGTCTAAAGAAAACTTTCTATAGAACAGTACAGCGGCATGATATCGTTGGTGTCACAGGCAGCCCGCGATACATTTAAAGTATAGAAATCATAATTCTTTCCTCGACATATTTGTAAGTTCAGACGATGGCCCTCCACTATAAGAAATACAAGAATATCCGCAAAAATTTTACTGATAAGTCAAACCCTGCGTCTCTTATATGATTGAGGTAGTCTTGGTCCCACAGATTGGCTGTTCATAACACCAACGATATCCTCAAACTTTTTTTGCCACTTCTGTCACTAAGGTTAAGACAGTTATCTTTTTGTTTCCCTAAAGGAACCTAAGGGAAGCTATTTGCTAAAGGTGTTATAGGAGGGCACACATAATATGTTAATGTATGAGAGAGATAGGGAGTGTGTGTGTGTGTGTGTTTTGATCATCTTTATTCACTTTCAAATGTATTTTGACTGCTCATAGTAAGACTACATTATAGTACATAATTTTTCAAATTGACGTATTGCTGAGTCTTAATACACTCAGCAGTTGATTTGATTTGTCCATGATGTGAGTAGGCTACATAATTGAATGTTTGATTAAGTATGAGAGTTTACACAGAAAAACATGTTTTACCTGAGATTGTGTGAGCATCAGAAAGTGCCAGTGTCAGTGTGTTTTTGTTTGTGTATGTGTGTGTGTGTGTATGTGTGTGTGTGTATGTGTGTGTGTGTATGTGTGTGTGTATGTGTGTGCGTGCATGAATGTCATGTCTCATTGTGGTTTGCTTGTTTGTCAAGAATAATATCCCTCAATGTGGGTCAACCTTTGTCTAAAAAGACAGTTGCCACTTATCTTGTATATGTAACCAGTAGAAAAGGGAGACTTCTAATACTTAAGCATATAGCATAAAAACAAACACTTTATAGTTCAAATGACTCTAAGTTACGTTTATAAATTAGACCAGAAACTGAAACTTTATACTGTACACGATTTTAAAAACTGACATTTTCTAGAACAAATTTTTCGAAAAGCAAACACTCCCTGGGACAAACCTAAATAATATAAGAAAGAACAATTGTTCATTCAAACACATCAGTCCTTCATATATTTATTTATTCTAGATTAAGTATTAAGTTTTCACTTCAATAAAAACACAGCAAAATGTTATGGATTTTTGCATGCATTTTCAGATAAGTGTTGGCCTATCACATTTGAGGTGTATTAAAAACCGCAAAATAAAATTCCTCCAAGCAAAGTAACAAAAGAAAAAGAACTAAGCGCGAGTCGCTCCAGTTTTGATTTTGGACCATTTTCAGACTTATTTCTAGCATATGCCTGGCAGTCAAAAAAGAGAGGCAACCAGGTAACATGTCAAAGGAAAAGAATCTTATTTTACATTTGGCAGACAGGTAAAAGAGATCTCGATGGTGCCAGACAATATTACGCTAAAATACATCGACTCTTGCTGGACCACTGAATTGCTTGTAATGTGAAATTTGGTTCTATGGTGCTATGGTGAAGTGTTCATAAATTCCTGTATACAGTAGATCAAATGTTCCAGCCACAATTTGCAGATTTTGTCTCCTATGAATGCATAATGTGATTGGTTAATATCACTGAAAAATTATCTAAAAAGACGAACAAGTTGGAATCTATTTTCAAGGACTTCTCAGATGTCTAACGTCACAGAAAGGTCATATAATGAAAGCAAAAGGAAAGTAACATGGGTTCATGGGCAAGAAAGATAATTATGTATACACAAACAAAACATGTTTAAATGCCAATCAGACGGTTGCCCCAACCTCTGATATTGTTCTCAGGACATTCTAGGATTATATGTTTAGGGTGGCCACCTTTGAAAACAAATACTTAAAGATGTTCTAGCTGCAGTACATCTAGAATCTTTTTTTTTTCTAAAGAACACAGTAAACACTAACTTTACAATACTTGAACATTATTGTATTCCATGTCCATTTCAGCTGTATTTAGACAGGATTTTATTTTTATATCATAAGAAATATATAATTTGATAAACATTTTTTTCTACAGGAGAAGAGAAATTCTTCCCACGAGAAGGGTGCTTTAAATTTAATGATTTTCATAGTCTAGGTTCAGTGCCCACAAATCACCAGTGCATAACAGTTGAAAATCACAAATTGCTCATTACGAACCATCATAGTTCATGAAGTCAGGACATTTGAAAGTTTTCAGTTTTAGAAATTGTAAATTCTAGCACTACAAAATAATCTTTGGGTATAATTATAGTCAAAAGAAAAAGTCAATATGAAGCACAAAGCAATCCTTTTTGCTATCAGCTGTTCTAGGTTAGCACATAAAAATGAATAGATAGTTTCTTTCAAAAAGCTGATAGCAGAACGTCCAAAAAAGTGAATCCGAATAAAGGGATTCTCAGAGAAACTTTTCTGCTAAATATATTTTCTTCCCTTTTCAGTTGTTATTATTAACCTTGATGTCAACATGTTTGCTTTGTGTTTCATATTTGTTTGTTTAAAGCACACGAAGTATCAAATAAACCAAAGTCAACCTCATCTTGGTCTTCATCTCTGTCTTCTGTCTAGAGGTAAAACAGGAAATGTAAAAAACATTTTAGCCATGCATTTTTGGGTTCATAACTTCAGAGCAGTTATAAGATCCTCTATCGTGGAACAACACTGCAACACCTCTCCTCCTTCCCATGCCTATAAGCACAGGAATTTGATACTTGTAAAGTCCCAAAAAGCTCTAACACTTGCTAAGTGTGCAAAAGATCTAATAATTGTTAGCATCTTTTCAAAATGTTTGTTATTCTAACATATTTTTTTCCGAACAAGAACCAGACAACAGTAGATTTACCAGAAAAAAGTTTGAATAGATTTTGATAAAGGATTATTATGTCTGCCACACTCCGCTTGCCACTATTTTCTGTCCCACTATGCTGAGAAAATGCTTATCCCACTTTCTATATAAGCAAAAGACCTGTCAATGAATATCCAGCTGTGAGATATGATGTTACAATCAACAACCATGACTTATCCCCAGAAAAGACCCACACAGCCTGAAGACTGAAAATATTTCCTGTGGAGCGATAACAAGCAACAGACATAAAAAAAAGTTTAAAAAGTGAACAACAATCATCTTCAGAATATTATTGGGGCAAAAACCCAGTAACCTGAAAACATTGAGAATTTTTAAAAAAATGAAACATGGAACATAGATCTATGTTAGCAAAATCACAATCAGACAATGAGAAGAGAATGATGAAATATCCATCAGCTTGCAACCCTCTGCCTTATTCTTGGCGATGAAAGGCCCAAGACTTTTCATCTATCATATAAAAATACAATACAAAACATGGAGTTTCTAGATAAAACTCATTTCAAAGGCATGACTACTGAGGCATATCTCAAAAAAAAAAAAAAAAGATCCACATTATTGTCATCTCCTATGCCAAGAAGAAGACTACAATCATATGAACATGCATCTGATCAACATGATGGACAAAGGTCAGATAAAATTTATGATAAGAACAAGTACAGAAGAAACTGATTTTTTAAAAATCCTTTCATTATATACTACAGTGAACCTAACACCAGTCCAGCGATGTCCTTATTCAACGGCCACTAATTCGATTCAGTTAAAGCCAACAGAATTTACCTACCCTCCACATGATGTCTGAACAA